AACGCATTTGAGGGGCACAAGGCCAAGATGCACACGAGGAAATGCTGAAGGTAAAAGGATGTACTGACACTAAGAGGCGCAGGGATCACCAGAGCTGTTCCGCCATTTGTCTGCTGAAAGACACCACATAAAGTCTCTGATATTTCAAGACTGCAATATAATGAGATTAAAATAAAATTTAAATACATAAATATAGCCATTATAATACTAAATAAAAAACATACCTATTTAAAAGCAAATAAATTACAATACGGCAATGAAAATGATAATAATAGGCTAATATTAATAACAACGATTTCCATTACATCTATAATTAGCCTGTTGGCATATTATTATTATTATTATTATTATTATTATTATTATTATTGATGTTGCACTCATGGTAACACTTATGACTACTACTACTACAATAATAATAATAACATCGATTTCCATTATATCTAAATAACCTGTTGGCATAATGTTATTGTTATTGTTGTTGTTATTGTTATTATTATTATTATTATTATTATTATTATTATTATTATTATTTTGGGTTTTGCTGTTGCACTCATGATAATAATAATGACTAAAATAATAATAGTAATAATAATAACAACAATGCATTATTATTATTGCTGTTGCACTTAAGAACAACAATGTATTACTGTTGCTGCACTTCATAATAATAATAATAATTAATTTTTTGCATTATTAGTACTATAAGTTACTATAATAATTAATAATATTATTATTAATAATAATAATAATAATAATAATAATGATAGTATGAATAATAAGTAAACACGTAGGCTATAATAAAGTAGCCTATTATTGTTGTTGTAGCGTTACATGTAGCCAATTTCTATAGGCAATATCTTGGGTTGTTTTGCATGCAATATCAATTTAGAAAATTACAAAAGTAACAGTAGCTGTTAAATATCGTGCACTTCGTCTCACATTTAAATTGAAAAACAGATGCGTCGCACAGTCAATCCTCATAATCTATAGATGGATGCAGCTGTGATGGGTGGGATTTTCCTTTCAAACCCACGTGCCGGGTTCATATTGAACACGGCCGGCAGGTGTTCTGGCTGTGCAATTTTAATGGCTGTTTGGTGTTTTGGTTTCGTCTGCTTATTTCTGTTTAAAATGAAAATAAAATAAAAACAATCACTCAGTGTCAATTAGATTAACAGCACATGCAAATACCTAACCTACAAAAAAATAGAGGCTTGGAGTAGCCACTTCGCTACTGACTCATCTCATTCTTTATGTAGCGTTGTAATCGCCATTTGTCATGAGCTGTGCTGCTTGGTATCGCCTTCCAATCCCTGTGGCACCATATTGAGCAAACACTATCGCAGTTGTTTGCAAATCTCCGAAAGCGCTCTGAAACAGGTTACACCCGGGAGGGCGGCGGGTCACCGAATCTGTTGAAAAGCGCACTGTGACAAATTCTTTTTGTCTTCGCTTTGTCTTTATACTTTATTATCCACACCGCCTGGAGATTCCGATTTATCAATGACCCCCATATACACTCAACGGCCCCTGCCAAGACATTGCCACAGGGCAACCAGCTATAAGGGCTTTTATATTAGGCTTTCACTGGGAGACCGTGGTAGAGAGGCCGTTTTATAAGCCTTTGAGCATAAACCAAATTTTGCCAAAAATAAAAATAATATAGTAAATAGTAAAAAATAATAGTTTTGGTGTTGTAACTAAATGCATTCGAAGGTTTACAAATAATTCAGTGCACATTCAGAACCTTTAAACACTCCATTAAGGGACATTCATTTTCTTCATTTTCATTTTCTTCACTGAAAGGTTGTTTAAGGCTTCACAAATATATAATAATTATAAAAAGTTTGATTAGTACACTGTAAAAACATTATGATCAATTAGTCCTGACAGCATATATGTTTTTATGTCATTGTAACTTATTAAACTATAACTTAATTAACTTGATAAGTTAAGTTACGCAAGCTGCTTTTAGTCTGTTTAACATAATACTAGTTCAGTGTACTCAAGGTTAATTTGATTCAGCTTGAAAATTACGAAAACCAGGATTTTTTTTTACAGTGTAGGAATATTTAACGGGTAAGTAAGCATAGCAACAGCAGCCAGATCGCTTTCTGCTATCAGACAAATACAAGTTGCCTGCTATTGTTTACACTACACCGTCTAAAATCTGACTGGAATTCTACTAAAATAATGACTGTATTTGTTTTCAAATGATCTCTGCAAGCATTTCAGACGTTCTCGTTTGAAAATATTTCTGCCTTGAGTCTACATTGCAACGTCTGTACAGGACATTAATTGGATGGAATTTGGAATAAACACTCCATAGCACCTAATGAAATGAAACAAGAGTTGGGTAGGCGCGGTTTGTCAGGTTCAATCTTTTGAGTGCTTCTTAGTGTTACAAATAATTACAACTTAAACCAATTAGTAACCATCAGATAATATTTTGCCTCCGTGCTTAAAACGTAATTGTATTCAACGTTCACTGCTGACGAAAACAACCGGAGCGTTGTGGAATTGAATTCAGCTCAATAATAGCAAGAGAGAAACGCAATTAAAATATTTTGAGCAGAGTTCATTTAGTTGGATAATAACTGTGGTTAAAAGAAAGCAATCTGAGGGAAAATAACTGCTGGAGGAATGTGAATGTGCACGAAATTAGATCTTAAGGAATCACAGAAATTAAGGCGGGAAATAATAGTTAATTCTGCCGGTAAATTGTGATCGAGTTCATTTATTTATTTATTTATTCATTCATTACTGGTTCATGGTGAATGTTGTCTCATGATGACCTCAGATGGGCCTTTAAAACAGTAATGTTCTAAAGCTCTATAGGGTGCCCAAACTTTTTCTTCTGAAGGACCAAACATGATTGAGTTGGCCGAAACATAGCTGCCATGTGTGGTTTCCTTATTTTTTTAATAGTAGGCTATTCAAAAATGACCACATTCCTTTATAACAACCAATACAGTATACTTTTTTACATTTTATAATAAACTTATTACAGTAAAAACAAAAACATTCTTATTTATGACACAATTGCTCTGCTTTTGCAGACATTGGCTTAATTCCCTGTCTTTTGCATAGTCCTCTATCAATCGAGTGACAGTATTTACATTTTAAAAAATCAGATTAATTCATTCATTCTCCTTCGGCTTAGTCTGTATTTCAGAGGTCACCACAGCGGAATGACCCGCCAACTATTTGAGCATATGTTTTACGCAGCGGATGCCCGCAAGTCAGTACTGGGAAAAATCAGATTAATTTACAACATTTAACTGAACCATTTAATTCGTTTTCTCTTTCTCTGCAATGAAACAAACGAACAACGTTATTAAATTAGAAATGGCGATCTCTGTGTTGAAAGCATTTGCCCCAGCCCTCTCCATCATTCTCACTCTCTTCTCAGATGGAATGATGGGCCAAATCAAAGGTTACATTACATTGGGCCCTACTTTGGGCATCTCTGTTCTATACGTTAATGATCCCGACTAAACACCATCATCTTCATCATCATCACCATTTTGCCAAAGCAATGAAATATAATCATCATTTATGTAAAGCAATAGCTTCGGTTTGAATATGCACAATCTGCATGCATGCATGCCCAAATGATGACGTTTTCACATATGACAACAAACGCCCATTTTCAAAGCCTGGCTGTGACTGAGATGGGTTTTGATGTTGTTGTTTCACGACACGACCTGGTGCAGTTAAAAGCCACGACTCCGGGTTGCTTGATTCGATATCATTGAGAACCAACAACATGTTTTCCTGCTATTGAGACACACAAGAGCGCTTATTATTGATACAGCTTTGTATTCAGAAAATTGATTTTTATGCTTCCCTCTAGCCACTTTGTGCTGCGGAGAAATATTTTTATTCGAGCGAAAGCTGAAATAAGTACGTAATAAAACGATGATATATTAAATTCGTTTTCCTTGCTTTCAGGTTTTATTATGCGCCATTTTTCATTTTTATTGAATTGAAAGAGGAGAATCTTCCACTGTAGCTTCAGGCGAAAAAAAGGTTAAATTATTTGCGCCAATCACACCGGCTTCTGCATCACTAAAGGCAACTGATGCTTCTCTGGCTTGGCCCTTTATTTTACGCAGCCAAAGGCAAGTGCACTTCAATGAAATTCAGTTTCATTTGATTAAGCAAACGCATTGCCATGTGTAAAGCTGCATGTTTCTGTACCCTTGACGAAACCTTAAGAGCCCTTTTCTTAATTGATCCGAACATTTAGGTTTTTAATCAATGGGGAAATTAATAGTAATATGCATTAGTTTGGCATGTTGTCTTTCAAATCATTAAACATCAAATGTGTTTATTATTATTATTATTATTATTATTATTATTATTATTATTATTTACTATACATGGGCTTAGTAGGCCTGCCCGATTCATCAGGGGTCGCCACAGCGGAATAAACCGCCAATTACTCTGGCATATGTTTTTTTATGCGGCGTATGACTTTCCAGGCGCAATTATTATTATTATTATTATTATTATTATTATTATTATTATTATTATTATTGTCATTGTTACTATAATTATTATTAATAATAATATATTAGCCTATTGTTCACTCACTATAATCCCTAACTCATCAGGGGCCGCCACAGCGGAATAAATCGCCAATTATTCTGGCATATGTTTTTTTTAATGCGGCGTATGACCTTATTATTATTATTATTATTATTATTATTATTATTATTAGGTCAGAAAAATGTCTTACCTTAAAAAGGTTAGCAAACAAGATAATTAAGCCATTACGTTAAATCCATTATTTTTCTATTCAGGTTGGTTTCATTTGAGACTGTATACCATAAACTATACAAATATCCATGTATTAAGAAAAATACGCCATATTAATGAAGCACAACAAGTTTTAAGCAACAATAGAAACAATTAAATGTGTTAAAAAATTGACCTTGACCCACAGCCTGTTGTACGTTTTATTGTCACATGACATCAAAATGGCTTCCTGCAAGCTGGGTAACCACACAGATTTTAATTTGCCAAACAATTTCCCCAAAAACATTGATAACTCCAAAAAATGCCTCATTGCTATTTTTTAGAGAAACTGAGAAAAATATTGTTAAACTATAATTGCATCAAAAAATTTTATCATAACTCTACTGCTATTTTTATTCCCTCCATGAACATGAAACGGTTTATTTTAAAGCGTGAACTGTGAAACAGCCCTAGTAAAAAAACAGAACGGGCTCTTTAAGAGCGGGGTGCGGGCGAGAGGCATTGTCTACAGAAGCGCGCAAGAGCCAATGGAGAGGCGCGTGACAGAGTTTGGGCAGAAGGGGTTTGTCTCACCTGCTCGAGATCACTTCAAGAGGAGCGTGAACAGGACATTTTCAGCTCACGACAATTAATATGCACGTATCGGACAGTTAACACTTCACTTTAGATAACAGCGATGAGCTCAAGTCTGGGCCGTGCGCCTTTCTGAGGTACTCCAGAAACGCGTCAGTTTTCTTTGCTACAACTTGGCAACTCATCACTCCGGGGTTTAACCGCGGAGCACGGTCGAGCTGCTTTTTAGGCATCATCATGGAACTGAGCAACAGACAGACGCAGTGCAAGAAAGTGTTGGATAACGCCGATTTGATCGCGAGGGAGTGATTTCTGTTCGTATTTTTTGTATGTGTGTGTGGTGTGGCATTGATATTAATTGCATGGGCTCTAAACACTCCAAGGAAGAATATTTTTTGTTTTTTTGTTTTCTAAATAAACACCTTTGGGAATAAATCTAAGTTTTAGGAATTAAACAACCTTCCAAGCTGTGCGTAACATATAGAACCGCGGAGATGGAGCACACGGGGATCGAAGAGGTGAACCAGACCCACCAGCAGCACGAAACCATCAGCTTTGGAATAGATCAGATCCTCAATGGCTCGGACCAGTCGAGTAGTTGCATGCTGCCCAGCCGAACCGGCGACCCGGACTACGCGCTCACGCCGAACGTCTACAACGGCTACAACAGCATGTATCCGGCCTGTTCGATGGCGGCAGGACTAGCAGGTTCCTACAACGTAAACATGAACATGAATGTGAGCATGAATATGAACGTTAATGTGAACTCGGGGAACGCTGGAGGTGTCATCCGCGTCCCGGCCCACAGACCCATGCCACCCGCACCTCACCAACCGACGGCTGGCCATCCACCGAGCATCGCGGCGGGAATTCCCACTATGCCCACAGTACCCAGTATGGGCAGCCCCCACAGTTTCACGTTCCCCTGGATGGAGAGCAGCAGAAGGTTTGCGAAGGATAGACTGACAGGTAACACTTGATGATATTTAAAGCCATTAATTTTGGGAGAAATAGTGTAATTATGACCAATGATAACGAGGACTGACAATCCGTTTGCTTTTCAGTCAATGTCTAGCTATAACTAATATCAATACAGTCTGAAAATGCAGGGTTGTTGTAGCCTAACGTTGGGTCAAAATGGACAAACCCAGCTGTTAGATTAAAAAGACTTTTTTATTTAAAATTAATTAAAAACATTGACCCGACGTTGTGTTATGACAACCCAGCATTTTTAGAGTGTACCTCACTGAATGGATTAATTTTACGTAGAGAGAACATGCTGAATTAACGTAAATTGATGTAAATTAAGCCCATAAATGTATATTGAATGGAAAATTAAGACCATAAATTTCTATAAAAATGCAGACGTTTAAAAAAACAGCAGCAGAGAAACAACACATAAATATGAATAATAATAACAACACATAAACTGCTACGCTATTTTTACATTACCGTTGCGTGCAGTAATACTGCTACTTTTAAAACAATTAAAGGATTGCTTGAATAAAGAATAGGATATATTAATATTGTAAGCAATAAATGCATAAATTAAATAAAAATAACTAGTATATGCCTCTTAACATCTTCAAAACGTAAAACATTAAAATGCTTTAAGATTTCTTTTTACCATTTACATATAATATATTCACATTTAATCTAATTTAATTTAGATATAATATAATCACATTTAATTTAAGATTGCATATAAAAGAATACGTGCGTAAATATCTTGGATTAACAGTATACTCAAGATTATTTTTTTGTCTAGAGCAACATTTACTTTATTCTAAAATGAACTGATGTTCAGTGTTTTTATTATATTCAGGTCGATGATTTTCATAGCTAGTTGTTGTTCTTTTTTTCTTTAGCTAAAATACATGAAGTTTTACACAACGTATTGCGCTTCGATTAATTACAGAAATCCCTTAAACACGCCATTAGCTTATAACCAGCAGAACATCTAAATAAAATTGACAAGTAACACAAAGATAATCTTCTAAAATGTTTATGGCGATTCATTTTTTTTTATATTGAGACAGCCCGCGTGATGTTGCATTGAACTCCGGCGCACAGCAGAACCAAACATCCCCTCGGCCTGTAGACTCAGCTTGTATTGCTCATAAAAACACAATGGCTTTAAAATCACAATTTCTTGTGGAATCCTTTTTATGACACCATGTCACGTCTATATTCTTGAGCTATTGTCTCTCTGGGCCTTTAGGACAAATGAATCATGATGCAGTGGTTGCAGGGAGCTAAATGTTGCCAGTGTGTCAGAGCCAGTAGTGATGCGTAATGGCATGTTGACAAATCGTTTTAATCTACGCAAACGTAATACCAATAGAGATCCAACAGAGGACGATTTTGGATACATTTCCAGGTGAGACTAAAAAAACAAAAACAAAATAAAACAAACAAAAAAAAAAAACCTTTGTGCACGATTATCCTATAATTTTGATAAGCCCATTATTACATTATACAATTTATACACATCATTTAGCAAGTGCTTTATATTAATAAGTGTATTAGAGATAATTATTCATGAAAAAAAATATGTGGACCTTGTTGTTTTTGTTTCGTCTATAACCATAAAATCATCCTCCGCTTTCTGTACAGTCCGTTCGCGTCTTCACATGACGTCACTCACAGCGAGATGAAAATGAAGAAGAATATGGATTTCTGTGCATTAAATATTCAGAATTCCGCTCCATTCTCATTAATTTTTCAAATGAGAGAATGATATGTCAACTGCAAAAGCTCTTTTGTAAATATGCTTATCAATTTTACTCATAGTCACTTTGGGCCACTCATTTATTATTATATTTTATATCTTCCCTTTTTTGAATTGCGCTGGAAGGTAACGCAGTGTATGCCATTTTTTATCTATACATATCTATATTTTTAAGCATAAACGACATTAAAACGTATTAATCATAACCCTATAAGCGTTACATAATGAAAATAAATTATGAAAAAATACACTTACAAATGTTTGCTGCAATCCAAAGCTTTTACGGAAATATATTCCATGCTGCTGTTGTTATTAGGCCTACATTTTAATTTTCGAAACATTTATATTAAATTATAGTAACATATGAATCTGTAACATTATTTTATACTCTACAATTAATGTGAGGCCTTACTTCTGTTTATTCTATAAGCCACTTTTAACGCACGCAGGTCTCGCAGTACAGCCCCGATGCCTCTCTGAAATAGGTTTCTCTTTTTCCAACTATTTTCTCCGGCAGCTTGAATTGCATGTCTGCATTTCACCACAAGTGTCACGGCGCGTATAGGTGCACGGACAGGCCTGAGACTCGATATGCTCTGCAAGCCGGACATATCATGCCGGATTGGGAGGCGATGAAAGGCTATACCGCATGTTTTTTTGTTAATTGACTCCTTGGCAGTTTGCGAGTTTATAAAAATCCAGAAATGCATAAACAGATCAGTCGCTTTCCAGTCAATAAACAGGTGCTCAAGCTGACGTCCCGCAGCCTTTACGCACGGCTTTTCTGTTCCTGTTAATAGCCTTGCTGATTAGAAGGAGCTATATACAGTACAACAATTTAAATAAAAGAACGTTTTTAAATAAATGCACAATGTGTAGAGACAGAAAGGAAAAAAGGCACCTGTATTTGCGGGCGCGCGTGATCTGAAAAGGCACATACACAAATCATATTCATCAGCAGGTATATTTATTTGTGTTATACCGCTGTCGGTGGGGGGCGTCGGGTCCAGCTGCATCACAACAAGGGGCAGGTGATGGTCGTAATCCGATATCGCTGGCCTTGGAGAAATTGGAAAATGAAATTGCGCGTGGATGCCCCTCCATCTGAAATGACAATAATGATCTTTACCACCCATAAATACAAATGATTATGAAACCGAGACGAGGCCGTGTAGCCATGGCGACGGTGTCTGAAGGGACGACGAGGCTCTTGAGCGGACGGTTTATGGCTTTGCTTGACAATTATTTTATTTTATTCGATATTTCAATTCCCAGCATGGGGGGAAAATTTAAAGGCGCGTTCTGCGCGTAAATAGCGACAAATGCCCATGTTATATTTCAATATCGCGCTTTGAATCCATTACATGTATATTTATTAGATTTCTACAAAGGTAATATTCGCAATGGGAAAGGCAGGAGCTGTCGCACGAAGGTGATATCACGTATAACTGATTTTATTACTGGCCGCATATTCTCCAAGGCAAGCTTTGATTTTTTGATGCGCTCACCATAAATTTTATTACACAGACTTATCATTTAGAATTCCCTCTGCTGTCGAGAGCGAATACGGGGATTGTTTTTGTTCCATTTGACCCACATATGTATCAGCGGAGGAGTGTTTCGGGGAAATGTATTATTAGTTTTGTTCTGCAATCTGCACACCTGACATTTATAATAAAAAAAGGGACCGACTAAAAGCTGTGACTTAAAATATCCACGAAGATGAAGTGTATCCACTATTATAGGCTATTTAAATAAAACATAGAAGTCTAATTCTGACGTCAAACGTTCTAGAATCAAACCGAACGTTACCCGTGTGTTTAATTGATGATGACGCGTGCCGCCTGTCACTCAAGACCAGCGCTTTAATTAAAAGCAATCAAATCCAATTACGCAAAAGAATAAAGAGTCTATGCGCTTAATCCAATCAGACGCCCTTTTGCTGGCTTCTTTAATAAAAAAACTAATGATTTTGACATTATTAAGATCAAAATAAAATATCTAAAATCACCTTGCATTACTCCGATAATATTAAGTGGCATCTCTAAGGTTGACCAAAACAGATTCAGTGTCATCCTGACCTCACGTATAAGGCCTTGAGGAATCCCAGCAGCGTGACTATAGTGTGTGATCTGTTGAGAAGTTCTGACAGCCATCGACGAGTACTGCAGTCAATCTTGAATTACACAAGAACGTGAATGAATGTAGCTGAGTGGCCAAGAACAGACATCTAACATGGTATTATCAGAACTCCAACCTGCCGAACAGAAAACTCCCGTTTTAGTCTTCACACATGGCCGGCCAACCATTGCAAGACCCGAGTGCTGCCAAAAGGATCACAGAACACCTTGGTCGAAGGTCAATTTCTTACTTTACGCAACAAAACAGGTTTTTATACAGTATATTGTTGAATACTGTCTCAGCTCCTTTATTTAATCATTAATTTTCCCCTTTTTAAAATTTTTATAACGTCAAACCGTTTACACTCTAAAAATGCTGGGTTGTTTTAACCCAACTCTAGGACAAATATAGACAAAGATCCAACAGTTGGATTAATTTTTTTCATTCATTAATTTTTTTCATTCATTCGTTCATTTTGTTTCCGCTTGGTCCCTTTATTTATCAGGGGTCGCCACAGCGGAATTAACCGCCAACTTATCCAGCATATGTTTTACATAGCGGATGCATTTCCAGCTGCAACCCAGTAATGGGAAACATCCATGCAAACTCATACACTATGGCCCATTTAGTTTCACATGTCTTTGAACTGTGGGGAAACCTTAGCAACCGGAGGAAACCGGGGAGAACATGCAAACTCCACAGAAATGCCAGCTGACCAAGCCGGGACTCGAACCAGTGACCTTCTTGCTTCTTCACCGTGTTGCCCAATAATATGTTATTAAATAATATTATTAATACAAATAATAATAATAATAATAATAATAATAATAACCAATTAAGTTTTTCCACATTTGACCATGTTGAATACGAACCAGCATGTTTTAGAGTATTTAAAACGCGAATCTAGAGCATAAGTTTTATTTTAACTTTTAACAAGTTTATATCAGTGCTACGCAGATGCTGTTGCTGTAAATATATTTTTCAAATGTTCCATATTAGATTCCCTTCGCCAAACACACACACGCACGCACGCACGCGCGCACACACAAACAGACACACACACAGAGATCAGTGCAGCCCCCAAATAACAATTGATTAATTGCATTCAATGTCCACATTATTCTACTCCTGCATTTGATTTGGAACATTAAACTTTATTTGCATTTACTGAGCTTTATTTGCATATGCAAATCATTTGTATCAGTTTCATTTGAGACAGTCACCAAACGGGGATAATTATTTAATACATATTCATCAGCGTTGCTATGGAAACGTTCACTTAAATTGCAGCACATATTAAACACTAATCATTCATTCATTTACCATCAGCTTAGTCCCTTTATTCATCAGGGGTCGCCACAGCGGAATGAACCGCTAATTAATTATTATTTATATGCTGCTATTTTAAATATAGAAAACTATTCAGGCATGAACAGCTAAATGTATTTGAATGGTAAACCCATTTATAGTGGATTTTTAAATGTGTTTAACATAATCCTATGTTTTGAGATAGATGTGTTTTGAGTTCACCAGATACTTAGTTTGCCACACATACTCATCATAAGAAAGGGAAACAGTTTGACTCCTAACCACCAATTAGATGTTTTGACATGCTTCCAACAAGTGTGTTAGCGTTTAGCGGAAAGGTCACAAGCGTACACTGTTATATACAGTATATATAGAACTATATATTGCTGTAATACTTATGTGAGTGTTGGCTAGATTTAGAAAATGTGTGTCTGCCATGGTGTTCAAATCTGTTATTCACATATGCACATTAGGTGTGAAGGTAGTCAAATAAACACATTCACAAAAAATAAAAATGCAAAAATCAAGACCTGTGTTGTAAAATCATGAATAATGGATAAGCAATGAAACCTTGAATGGAAAAAACTTGCCTTAATCGATTTGTTTTTTTTTTACAGCGTACATAGTTAAAGTTAAGCGTGATGGGCATTTTTAACTTCACCAAAATTAGTTGAACGTTCACAAGCAAAAGTAAGTGCTTATAGTAAAAGTAGTAACATTACGGTAAAACACAATTGAACGTTTCTTTCCTTTCCGTTGAAGTGTAATAATCACAAAGGCCTACATAAACCGTTTTGTTTACATCGTCTGCTAATGAAACTTGAACGAAACAAATGTACGTTTTTGTTATTTACAATAGAGGAATAATAGACTACGTTTACAAATCTTTGTAATAATAATCTAATAATCCTTATTCATCATCATAATATTTCATGGACATACTTCAAAAATGTCCGCTTGAAAATTTCATAGGCGAAATGTTTGGTGATGAAATTTAATTTTACAAATTTTGCTTATTGTTTGTTCTTAATATACTTTTCAATATTATGAATGAATAAATGAACGATAAAAAATAAATTTAATACAGGAAAATAGTTTTCTCATATAAACCTAAACTTCTGTAACTTTAATTACGCATTTTCTTCTTTAAAACATAAACTTTCAAATGTCTTTTTTTTTAAGAAACCAAAGTATGAGTTTAAGCTGTAATTTAATTTCCAGGTGGTCAAACACATGTAGGATAATAAATGTTATTATAACTAGCCTACTATTAAAGCACAATGACATAAAATACAATAATTTTCACATACACTAGCTTTAAAACATTTATAGGCAACAACAGTAGCCAATTTTAGCAGCAGTGAGGGGTTAAGATGTTAAACGTCAGCAAAGTGCGCGCCGAACGTTCACGCCATTACCAGGCCTATAAATCAATTCATTTTGATGTTTGTTTTTATTTTTTTCATCTTTCAATCCAGTTTGATGCAGTAGCTAGTGCATTTTCATTATATAGCCGCATGGCTCAGCGTCACACCTTAGATGACCTCCTGTTGTTTGTTTGTTTATGCCCTACTGACCAAGGAGATTTCCTTGGATTTGTTATGACGGATGCAGTGCCGTTTTTGACCATAAACTAACGACATATTCAAGACTTTAAAATTACAATAAGAAAAAATTTAAACTGAAAACATAACAAAAATAATAATCAAAAACAGATTTTTGTTTTGTGTGGAACTGATTTTTTACAGTCTATACTACTGTATATACAACATTTTAGTAGGCTACTAAACTTGCAAATGCTTACAATTTATTTGAATTAAACAACCAATTTACTACATATTAATTTGTTTGTTTAAATTCTGATCATATAAATTGCTTGCAAACACACAGAAAAATGATTTCTGCATAATTGTTGCAAAATTTGTGTTGAATTGAAACAAATTAAAATTAGTAATGTTAATTTGTTTGTTTAAATTTAGGTCAAATAAATTGTTTATAACCACCTAACTTAAAAAATAGTAAACCCAAGGAATCATCTTTAAATAATTTATTTTAGTGCTCTTACTTTACATTTTTTTAGTAAATCCAATAAATATATTTTTCAGTGATAGCTACAGGGCCCACCATAAATATAATTATCAATTATGTCATTACTTATTGGCTTTTTGAATGTTACTGGAAATGTTACAGATTACATTTTATTTTTGAATGTTATACTCACACATAGTTCCTCTTTTTCCCTCTCAGCTGCTCTGTCCCCGTTCTCCGTCACACGGCGGATCGGTCATCCGTACCAGAACCGGACACCACCGAAGCGAAAAAAGCCGCGTACGTCGTTCAGCCGCGTGCAGATCTGCGAGCTGGAGAAACGCTTTCACCGGCAGAAATATCTGGCGTCCGCGGAGCGCGCCACACTCGCCAAGGCCTTGAAGATGACAGACGCTCAAGTCAAAACCTGGTTTCAAAACAGAAGAACAAAATGGAGGTCAGTGAATACAAGGACCATTTCAAATACATCATTTCAAAACGGTGTCTAATAAATACTGCAAAGAAAATTGATTTAAATATTCTTGTCAAGTTGTTATTGACAATTTTATAGCCCAACAATATACCACGAGCAGTTTTACTGAGTAGAATTGAAGTTTATTTGCTCATTTTTATTTCAGTTTCATTTGCGGACCCTGTTTATTCAGAGCTAAAATTTCTCGGCTTGTTTTGTTTCTACAGACTTGTCGAAATGTGTTTATTTTTAATGAAATCTCTTACTCTCTAAAGCTGCATTAACTGCTCAACACATATTGAAACAGAAACATTTAGAACGTATTATTATAATTTATAAAGCCTGTTTACAATGCAGTTTATGATTATGATGAACAGTTTCGTTTTCTAAATTATTACTATTAGTTATTATTATTAGTTTTTTTTAATGACAGTTTCCAGTGTCACAATATCCTTCAGAAATCATTCTGATATGCTTATTTGTTGTTTGAGAAACATTGTCATTGTGTTGTGCTGTGTACGTGTGTTCTTAATTCTTTTATTCATGAAATATACTTTAAATGGATAAAATATACTTTAAATTTCTTAAAACATCATTAAAAGATGCTAGCAACACACTCAAATTTAAACAGTCATGAATTGATTTAATTTAATTTTTAAATAAATATATTCTCAAAAATAAAAACCACACTGTCATAACATTTAACTAATGTTGCTATTAATTGTATCTTGATCAAATAAACAGCTAAGAATAAAATCATTAAATAAAAACATTTAAAAATAATATCCTCCACACATTTGACAAGCAATGCATTTTTAAATGGCATTAACGATGATTTACTCGCAATCCCGCGATTATGTGAACAACTGCAGCTTTTAAACCCTGTAGATTGTTCTAATTGACATAATTAAAATGACTTACATCTGAATAAAAGGCTTTCAAAAGTGCAGCGTTTCTCAACAGCAGTTAATTTAGCCAAGAATGAGCTTAAGTGGACGAGACATTTTGTGCAGAGGTTTGCATTTTATTTGATTATTTATTTTACAATGGCCTCAGATTGCCTTGACCAAGCAGAAACTTTCAAGCTCTTAAAAGGCTCGGTGGAAACTTGCTGCCCATGCAGGACAGAACCTATACTTCTGAATAATTGAGAGCATGTCCATCCTCTCCCCCCATAATCTACTCAACCTTTTGCTGTTGGCTCTTTTAGAGCAAATAAGTGGCCAATCTAATTAAGAGCAGGCTTACTTACCTTTGGTTTTTACCAACAGGCTGCCATAAAGACCGAGAGCATGGCTGAGCGTGATTTATTTATAATGAAGCTGAGTCATGGCCTTTAACGAATCAAAATTTATTACGGTTGCTTCAGTGTATGCCGACTCATCAATATTTATGGAGCTCGACTTAATTCAACAATTATCCGTATCTGCTGAAAGCTGCTGGGAAGCATTCATTAGCGCGGTCACTTGCTTTTAGATGCTCTCTTAGGAATGAAGTTCTGGTAAATCTTACATCACTACTATTGGATGCCAACCAAACCTGAATATCAATAGCAGCAACTCTGAAAGAAGTCGGAATGAATTCATTTTCCTCAATGGTGCATGAAAATCACAGAGTTTATTGGCCAAAATGTGTCCAGCATGAGGGTTTAAGTCATTGTTCCATATACCTGCCGTCCATTAGCCACACGTCACGGCTAAACGCATCACGGTAATGCGATTGCACTTGGCTCATTTGATCACGGGCTTGTTACCCATACAATTGACACACAAATACATCCTTCATTCGCAAAGAGTGTCTCCAGTTGAAAATTATTAAGACAAAACTGGAAAACCTGCATGGAGCACGCTGCTGTTGCTTGCATTTTCCATTTTGCACTTAGATATTTGTGTATATATGAATGTGATAAAATATTAAAACGCTTTGTTAAATTGTATCCTTAATTTGCTCTTAAAAGATAAAAAATAAAATACCCTAACAAGTGTTATATAGGCTTTTTTAACTACACCTTTAACAACAGCCTGTAGAATCTACAGTAGTTTACTGTAAATCAACAAGAGTACTGTATTTACAATCACAGCCCCACTTATCTTGCTCTATATGTATGTTCAGTATTGTATATCGTTACTGTAAAATATACAGTAATTTTCACAATGCAACTTTAAAATACAGTAAAATACTGTATAATTGTCCTACAGTAAAATACAGCTCATTTTTCCACTTCCACAGTTAAATACAATTTACAAAAATCGTTAAAGGTGTATGTTAAGTTAGTTTGAACAGCCTGATGTTAATGGTAATTAACATTTTTTACTTTTAATAAAATAATAAATCACATTTAAGCTGTGCTGTAAAGGACAAACATTTTATTTTGTGCATTTAAATTAGTTTTGCATATAAGGGGACAGATTACTCAAACTCAAATCCTGTCAGCAGTTCTCCAGAACCATGTTGCACCAAATCTGACTTTCAGTTCTTTTGCCCATAGTTCAGACAGGTTTCAAGCATTACAACTAAAAGTGTTTTTGTATTTATTCATTTATTTATTTTGTATTTACTTTTATGTATTTAAATGTATTTATTTTTTCCATACCTCAAGCCTGTGTAATTCAAATTTTAAAATTGTATTTATTTATTTATTTATTTATTTTACATTTACCTCTTTATTTATATTAATTTATTTACATACCTCAAAACTATGTATAATTCAGATTTTAAAATTGTATTTATTTATTTTGCATTTACTTTTATTTAAAAACAAATTCTACACCTCAAAAAGTGTAATTCAGATTTTAAAATGTTATTTATTTATTTATTTATTTTTTGTATTTACTTTTATTTATTTCCATGTCTCAAAACTAAGTGTAATTCAGATTTTAAAATTGTATTTATTTTGTATTTACTTTTATTTATTTCAATGCATTTATTTGCATATACCTCAAAATTAAACATGTATTTCAGTGTTTAAAATTTATTTATTAATTTATTCATGTTGTATTTACTTTTATTTATTCAAATTTATTTATTTCCATATCAGAATGTGTCCTGTTTATGATTTTTATCTGACTATGACAGATTTTTACCATGTTTTACAGTAGACATCTTTAGTCATTCAGCCATTCAACTAATTGAAGAAAATGGATTCTGTTAATAAACATAAAACTAAATTTAGATTAACTATTAATTATTAATGTTATATTATAAAATAGTATTATTAAACTGAAGCTAACATGCCAACTAACTGACATAAAATAAATTCAAGTCTAAAAGAAACTAACTGAAATTAAGACCGAAAATCTTATCCATTCACTGTGAAAAAATGTTATATGATCAATTAGTCTTGACAGCATATGATTTTAGCTCATTCTAACTTTTTTAATTAAGTTAATCATGCTCTAACTTAATTTCATTAGTTACATAAGCTGTTTAAGTCAGTTTAACATAATACAAGTTCAATTGACTCATAAGGTTAATTTGATTCAGCTTAAATATTTAATTCAACCAGGGCTTTTTTACAGTGTGTAAAACCATTAAAAACAGCCACATTTAAAAAATAAAAATCATTTGAAAGATCACAGTGCTGCTATAAAACACTAATTATTATATATTTTTATATTATATTATATATAAATGAATATTTAATATAATATATAATTATATTATATGTTATTAATTATGATTGGTAAGGATAGCAAATGTTGCCATTTGTTGTGGTTAAAAAAAACTGGTTATTCCATCAAACATTGATTTCTAAACTCCTCCGATGTGAACACATGAATACGTATAAACATGGCATCTTTATATAATTGTATGAACAGAGGCTCTAAATCAGGGTTGCCCAAAGTTTTTCCTATAAAACTTGATTGAGGACTGTGGACAAAATATAAACCATATATTCAGTTTCCCATGGGTAATTTACTAATTTATTAGGTAATAATTAAGTAGAAAATGTTGCTTTAAACTAATGCAGTATAATTTAGAAAATTTTATAATGAACTTATTACAGTAAAAACATAACCAATCCCATTTATAACACAATGGAGTTCAATGCTGAATTCAAGCTGTGCCTTGATTTGCTCGCGGATGTCTTGTGCATTGCCCTTAATCTATTAAGTGACAGTGTTTACATTTTAAAGGTCTGATTCAATGACAACATTTAATTTAAGCTGGCTTTTTTGGTTGCTCAGCAATAAAACAAAGAAACAAAAGGCTACAATAAATTCTGAATGACAATCTCTGTCAAAAAGCATTCGCCCCAACCACTTCTCGATCATTCTCCCACTCTTTTAAGATGGTATGCTGGGCCAAATCAAAGGTTACCATTGGCTAACTTTGGCCGGTGGGCCCTACTTCGGCCATCTCTGTTCTAAAATGATTCAACATATATTTTTGTTTTGTACTGATGGCATGTCTTCCTAATTTTTTTCTTCACTGAGAAACATAATTATAAATCATCAGTCCAGATCATTTTTCGGCTGGCCTCTTAATACTTTTGTAAACATAAATAAATATATAAGTATTGATCTGCTATACATGAAATAACGATGATTCATATAACAAAAACAATCATAAAACAATAATTGAACCATTAAAAGGAACTTCCCCAAGTATGAAAATGCTATTACTTATTTACTCACTTCAGTGTGTTTCCAAACCTTTATGACTTTCTTTATTCTGTTAATGCACTGAAGAGGATATTATGAAGGATGATAGAAACCTGTAACCATTAATCCCATATTATTTGTTTTTCTTACAATGTGATCAATGGTTACCGATTTTCAGCCTTCTTCAAAATATCTTCTTTTGTGTTTGACAGAAGAAAGAAACTCAAAGGTTTGATGCCATTCGAGAGAGTGTAAAGTGTGTAAATGTTCATTTTTAAGTGAACTATCTCATTAAAGAAGACACTTATAACTTTTTTTTCAACATCATTTGACGCAGAATCAAAACAGGATGTCATACGCAATTAAAACCCAAATCAAATG